TTCAGTGGGTTGCCAGTTGTGAGTTGCAGAGTGATATGGCTGCTGGTTCATCAGAACAGTTCTGGATGAAACTGAAAGCAGACTGAAGCATCTTCAGAGAAGTATAGTGCAGAAGATGGAGGGGCTACAGTAGCAACCAATCGACCACTGGAGGTCACTAAAGTGCCTCTAACAATTGTAGAAATTTGTGTGCTAGGTAATGCAGGTTATCGGTGATAGGCTTGAGGGCCCATTCTCACATAAGGGACATTAGTGGTGTGTTAGCATACAGTATAAAAGAGAGTTGCATAGCGATAGTGGTGGTTTGGTAGTAGTCAGGATAGTGAATTTCTTGAATCTAGAGAACTTATACTTAGATTTGATAAAGATACAAGTTCACAACATTGTTTTATTACCTTGTATTACTATACTGTATGTTAAAATATGTTAATATTAAGTACTTTTAAATTAAAACCAGGACAATCCCTTAACTTTGGAAAAAATATATTCTAAGTGTGTTATTTGTATAGATCTCTGGAGCCACAGTTTTAGAAGAGGAAGTACAGTATGCACAATATACTAAAGATCTCAGTTTTGAAAAACACAATTGCTTATTGTACTTAATAAGGTACAGATAATCAAGGATTCCTGATCACAGCAAAAACTAAGTTGCATTTAATTTACTAATATTAAAAGTTTTTAAGGATAAAAAAACCTTTAGATTAGATCATTCCTAATGAAAGTCGAGTGAAAAAATTAACATGTTTTCTCAGAAGAATGGAAAATTGCTGACATTTGTTTTCTCCTTAACAGTTCAGACTAAACCTTGTGATGAGCCTCCTTATGTAGACAATGCAATTAGCCCACCACGTCAGTCTGTCTATGAAAATGGTTCTAAAGTGGAATATAAATGTCATACCAATTATAAAATTAAAGGGGACAAAGACGTTTTCTGTGAAAATGGACAGTGGAGCCAGATTCCAGAATGTACATGTAAGTAATGCAGGCTATACGTTCATAATTAATCATGTCCTTATCCACAACGAAAAGAAAACTGTCTTGCAAAATGTATTCACTCCTGCCAATAATATAGCAAGTTCATGAGTTTTCAGTAACGTTTACAATTTTTGTAATTTATCTTAATTATTTTCTTCAAAACATGATTAAATTTAACACATATGTGATGAAGGGTAAATGTCTGCAAACCTCTGTAAATATATACAAAATGGAATTCACTGATTATATAAGTATTAAGTCTTCTAAGGCAGTACTTGGTGGAAGGAACTTCATCAGGAAGTCATTATTTTTAGATGAGACTGCACCCATTTGCACACTGGGAGGTTGTAATTATGTGTATTCATCCTTCCAAAAATATTGTCCTGACAGGATTGTTGTTAATAGTTGATGGACTATAACCATCATGTCTCGCCATAAATATTCTTGGCTTCAAGTGTTAGACTCTTTTTTCAGTAAACCACATGACTCTGGTAAATCATGCTGGAGATTTCTTTATTGCAATAAAGAAAGGAGGACTGTCTGAGTTAACAGGTTCACCTTATATCTCACTCACTTTTCTAGGAACGGCAGCATGCTTTTAATCTTGAAGATGAGCAACATTTTCATACAAAAACATACATTTATGATTGGTCAGTAGCAGTTTCTTACCATACAGATCCAACCATCATTCAGAATGCGTGTCGGATACCGCAGCACTTTGCATTGCACATGCCCTAACGCACTGTAACACAACCCTTTTTAAAAAATAAATCTGTGTTTGGACTGTACCATTTTGTACAACTGCTAGGTGGCGCAATGAATGCTTAACGTGGCGTATGGAAGCCAAAAAACACCTGGTTTCAAATCCCTGTCAATGCTGAGCCCCTTGAGACAATCTTTTTCAAGTTATAGAATTTAGATTGAATACTGTTTAAACTTTTATTCATTTTAAACTGTATATTACAGTATGTTAAATATTAAATTAATTAAAGAGTAGGTCTATTTTATCAAAACAGAATTACTCAGTTGGATATATAAAAAGAGTTTATTATTATACTGTAGCTTGTTGTGAAAGCAATGTGCCTCTTTCAGATTTACATCCACACATCGAGAAAATCTAAAGGTAGATTTTGGTAGAGGAAAATAAAAACAGAAGAATAATGTAATATATACCTAATGCACATGCAATAGATGGTAGCGGTAGCTAAAAAAAAGTACGCAGCAGTATTCCAACTTTTTCATGAATATTTTATGTATCAAAGTCTTTAACTTGACAACCCCTTCCTCCCCGCATCAAATAAAGGAGATTCTCCCTACCTTGTAATGCCAGTTGGTGTCAGGAATGTCCTCTCCACAGTGACACTCAAAGCCACAAAGGTCCTGGGTTTCAGCACCTCTTTTCTCAGTAAACCACATGACTCTGGTAAATGGAGCTGGAGATTTCTTTATTGAAATAAAGAAAGGAGCACAGACGAAGTTACAGGTCCACTTCATCTCTCACTTACTTTCTAAGGACAGCAACAGGCTTTTATTCTTGAGGTTTCGCACAAAAACATACATTTATGATTGGTCAGTAGCACTTTCTTACCATATAAGGTGTAAACAAGGTCAGAAAGTTAGGTCAGCCTATGCAATTAACCAAGACCCTAATCAGTTAAGACCCTATTCCTTTTCATGTACTGTAGCTTATCACGTTTAGAATACACAAGTTACTGTACACCTCCACTCAAGAGAGTTTTAAGAAATCTGGCCATTTGGGAGTGTACAAAACAGTGAAACCTAATTGTTAACTCAACTGTTAAGTCAGGCTTCCTTCTAAGTCAAACCTTTGTCTGGGCCACTGAAGAACATTCATTCTCTTTTTGTCATACCCCTTCATTGTGCCTTTGGGTTTGTGCTTCAGTTTGTTTTTCTACTGAAGTGTGAATTTTTAAACTACTTTTAGACTTTTAGCTGACTCAAGCAGGCTTTTCTCTAGGATTCAAATATGCTACTCACAATCCCTTTTTCCTTACAAGCATCCACATCTATGATGATGAGTGATGTGCTATGTTTGGCTTATGCTAGATATAACGCTTTGCTGTTAGACCAGTAATTTCAATTTGTGTCTTTCCTTACCATAAAACCTTCTGCCATTTGTGTTCAGTGTGTCTTTTATGAGATTTAAGAAGTCATTTTTTAGGAAGTTTTCTTGTTATAACTTGTACATACTGCATAAGGCCAGGTTTATGTCAGACCAGGATATTGTCTTTAGGAACAATGACTCCCATTTTCAGACCTGGAATTTTGCAAATTTTCAAAGTGACTGTTGGCTTCACTGTAGTATCTACAGTATGACCAGCTTGGTGTTTCCTTAGCTGCTTAGTTGGGAAGGAGGGCCTGAATGTCTGGATGGTATGATTCCCATTCCTTCTCTTCATTGTACTCAAAGGAAAATATGATATGTGCTGCTCTGCCATTTTATCCCCGATGTGTTTTAAGTGATCAGTGGTCTTCAGCACATCAATATGTTATTTCACGTAGTGAGCTCTTGCTTTAATTATTTGAGAGAACACT